CAGCTAGATGTTTGCTAAATTAAACAACTAGCCTTTTGCTATCTTAGCTACCTTTTATTGTTTACAGCTAGGCTTTAGCAACTTTAATCTTTTAACTTTTTACTACTTTTAGCTTCTAGTTAACCATATGATAGTTTTAGCTTTTATCTTCCACTTAGCARCTTTAGCTAATTTTTACCATTGGCTAGAATGTTGCTACTTCTAGTTAGCATTCTGATGCTTCTAGCTAGACTTTTAGCTGCTAGCTAGCCTTTTGATACTTTAGCTTTAGCTAGTGTTTTGATGCTTTCAGCTAGCATTTTTCAAATTTAAATTTTAGTGAGCATTTTGCTATTTAGAGCTTTTAGCTGCAATGTTGCTACTTCTAGCTAAAAGCTTTTTGATACATTTAGCTAGTCTTTTAATACTTTTGACTTTTAGCTAGCCTTTCAAAAATGTATAGCTTGTGTTTACCCTTTACCAACTTTAGCTTTTAGCTAGTGTTTTGATGCTTTCAGCTGGTATTCTGTCAATTTTGGATTTTTGCGAGCATTTGGCTGTTTTGAGCTTTTAGCTACAATGTTGCTACTTCTAGCTAAAAGCTTTTTGATAGGTTTAGCTAGTCTTTTAATACTTTTGACTTTTAGCTAGCCTTTCAAAACAAATAGCTTGTGTTTATACTTTACCAACTTTAGCTTTTAGTTAATGTTTTGATGCTTTCAGCTAGTATTTTGTCAATTTTGAGCTTTTAGCCAGAATGTTGCTACTTCTAGCTAAAAGCTTTTTGATACATTTAGCTAGTCTTTTAATACTTTTGACTTTTAGCTAGCCTTTCAAAATGTATAACTTGTGTTTACCCTTTACCAACTTTAGCTTTTAGCTAGTGTTTTGATGCTTTCAGCTAGCATTCTGTCAATTTTAGATTTTTGCGAGCATTTGGCTGTTTTGAGCTGCACGGATCCAGGATCTTCTCTGGTCCTGGAACATCTTGGGATCCCCTGAGGAGGAGGTCTGGGTTTCTCTCCTGGACCTGCTGTTAGTAAAATATATATTAAATATAAATATTCAACATGTCCTTTATCACATAAAAAGTGGCATTTAGTATAAATAAAGACAAAAATAAGATCTGAACAAGTGTTTTTGAGTTATGATCTGAAAAGATATATAACATATATAACATATATAACACATATATAAGATTTTAGCTATTATCATACATTTAGCTTCTAGTTATCTTTTGTTGCTTTCAGCTAGATGTTTGCTAAATCTAACAACTAGCCTTTTGCTCTTAGCTACCTTTTATTGTTTACAGCTAGGCTTTAGC